CAGCCCCGCGCGGGTTAACCCCTCGGAGCCCAGGAACCCCCTGATTCACCCCAGGCCGATATCACAAGCAGTTGGAAGAGAGGAAGAGGAAGACAGCTTCCTTTCGAGGGCAGAATCCCCTTTGTCTAGCAATCCGGGTGAGTCCTCTGCTCTGAGCTACACCCTGAATCCTGATATCCATCTTAGTGGCTCTTGTCCCTGGGGAGGTGAGGCAGTATGGGCAGACGCCCTCCTCCAACATACTCTCTGAGGCCCGATTTGACGTGGCCTGAGAGGAGAACCCCTTACAGTAGTTGAATTACCCTTTACCTGGCTCTTTTGCTGGTAGCTGGGAAAAAAAGCAAACACACCTCCCTTAGACACTTGTTTTTGCACAGGCTTTTGAGTGATCGGACACCGTGGAAACAGCTAAACTAAGTGGGGGTTAGGGGAGCTTGAGCCTGGATACTATTATTAATTTGCTGTGGTGCCTTGAACCCATCACTTAGTGTTTTCATATGATTGTGGAGGTCCTTCTACATATTGGTGGTAAGTTCCAAAGACAGGCAGGTTCCCAGGACTTCACAGTGGTCTGCCCAGGTAGCTGTTGGGTCAGGTATGGAAGAAGTAGAAGGATCATTGTCCTTCTGAGTACCATGAAGTGAATGCCTTTCAGAGTGTCCAGGGACCCACTGCAAAGGGACTCTTTCAGGACTGCTGTTTTGGGCATAGGGAGGGTAGGATGCATTTAGTAGGAGGTGAGTCTCCCCAGCCCAAAGGAAACCTGGGATTAAAGTATAGTTTACCTTTTCTGAAATAGATCAGTCCTTACTGTGCCTAAGATTTGGAAAGAAATGTCAGAGGTCTTTTGGACCCCAGTTTAAAGATCCTTTAGGTCTGGGTTAAACCATTTATATTTTTAGTGCCCCTGGAGATTAGCGAGAGGGGTGGGGAGTCCAATGTCATTTGTATTTCATTTGAATTCTCAATTTTTAAAGGAATCCAAGAGGCCTGGTGTGAACACCTCCCTCTTCCGTTGGAGGCTTAGAGGGGGTTTCTTGGCTGTCCTCAGCCAGAGTTGGGCTGTAAATCAAGGCCAAACAGGAACCAGAAGCCTTGCATCTCACAAGGAGTCATTAAGCCATTATTAAACATACCGTAACTTCTCTGAAGCCTTATTGGCTTAAACACCACATTGGAGGCATTATGGCCATTAGGCCCCTAATCACACTTCAGGCTGGGCAGAGATGGGAGCACCTGGGGCTGGTATTTCCAGCTAGAGAAGCTTGGCTAAAAATGAGGTTTTTCCTTTGCCTGTATCAGAGAGGAGTTCACTGGCTCTCAGCTGTGGACACCGTTTGAGTTGATTATTAATGAAAAATTTCAATACTTGTCAATTGGATATTGTTGACTGTCTAGGAGGATGTATCATTTCAGGAAATCCAATCCACAAAGTTATCAAGCAGCTGAATTTGGAGGATGAAAGTATGACACAAGAAAAATGTCACCAACAAATTAAAGATTAAACAGTGGATTAAATGCTGAGCCATTTGCCTCAGTTTTCTTGTCATAAAAATGGGCCACACATGTGGAGATGGGTTATTTGAGAAGCACTTATATTTTGCTATACGGTGTTAACTTAATGACAATGATGATTTCTCCAGAAAATGGGAACCCAGCTTTCAAAGTTCTATCACTGAATCTGTGTATGGCCCTGACACTGGAGCTAAACAAAGGATTCTGTATCCCCACAGACCCACACTCTTCCCAGCCCTTGAGAGTTCTCCTGACGCTCTTACACTTTGCACAGAGGTGATTTCCATGCTGTAATGTGTTACTAACTGAACTAAGGGAATAGGAAGGCCCAGATGACAGCTGAGTTTGGTGGAATTGCCTCTTCTGGAAAGGGTTTCGCCTAGAACTGTGGAGAACAAGAAGGCTTCTGCTCCCCTTTAAGTCACTGATCAAATGCAGGCCTTTGTCTCCAGTTGAGAGCAGCCTGGTGAGGCAGGTGCATGGATAGAATGAGAACTTCCAGGGTCTTATTTTCCTTCCTAGGTGGGCTGAGAGTTGGGGAACACTGGGAGACCCAGAAGCCCTCACTTCACAGCTGTATGCATGTACACAGTATGCTGGACTTAGCTCATATATGCAACATACATGGACTTATGTATATTCACAACAACACTTGAGGTAGGCACCATTTTTTTTGGCCACCTTTACAGAGTAAGAGCCGTTTGTTCAAGGTGGACATAACTAGTTAATATTAGAACTAGAATTTGCTCTCAGATCCATTCTTCCCACCCTACAAGCTCTCTATTCTTGTTCAACTAACAAAATAAGGTAGAAATCATTTTTTATACATTCCAGATGAGCTTCACGAACACCAGTTGGCACCCAGCTATGGTGGCCAGAAAAGGCAAGGGAGCAACGAGAGGGTGGTTTCTGCTAATGGAGACCAAATGAAACAGTGTCTAAAACCAGAGTGGTTTTTTAAAGACTAATTTAGATGTGGGACAGAGTTTTAAAAGGATTCATGAATTCACTGTTCACACTGAATTGAATTAATAGCATTCAATTAATTCAACCATTGGATTAATAGCGTTTGTCACTGATCCTTTCTCAACAAAGTAAGAGATGAACACATAAGTGACCCAGAGAATTCTAGGTCCTGTAATTAAAAACAAACAAAAAAATCACTTTATTGAGAAAACACTCTCCATTTTCTAGGTAGAAGAAGTTTAAAAATGGAAATGGTACTTTTATATTGATGATTGTTTAATTAATTCATTTCTCAGGAGGGTCTGCTGGTGACAGTTAGCTGGTACCAGGATACAAAAGGTATCCTTGCCTGCATGGGGCTTATGGAAACCATCACTTGGATGTGAATTAGTGTGGGTCAGTCCTGGCTCCTAGCTCAAGTGTAAGTTCTTTGATTAGGGAAACAACAGTTCCAGCTACCTTTCCCCTTTATTTTCTCCATCCCTCTACCTCTATCCCATGAAGTCGAATATCCTTCCATGGATACCCAAGGAGTCAGAACAGTGGTACAAAGGGAACCTCACATTTGAGATTTTCTTAATATATGCCTTCCAGTTGCTTGTTTTTCCCTTGGAAGGGAAGATAGCCAGCATTGTTCTGTTTAGACACTGAAATCCTAAATTGTTCCTTAGGAAAATTCTGGGTTTGGAAGCCCAAGTGGATTGTTTCTCATTAGCTACATTCTTCCTGGAAGGTCAGGCTAAGGAATGGTAAATAAACCTAAAGATCCGGTGTTCCTCACCCATGGATGATACTTTTAAGAAAGGTTTGCACTGTGGGAACTAGGATCCTTGAGTAAGTTCTCACAACGTAGACTGGGTCCTATGCTTCAGGGTGAAATTTCTGGGAAGTTTCAGGACTATTTTCCCTTCTCCATCAATTTAATGTGTTTGATTGAAAAGTCACTTAACCTCTTCATACCTAAGTTTCTATACTACAAAAGTGTGAGGAATGGTTCTGCAGTCAGCTTTCCTGGGCTGGGAGAGCTAGTGTTTATACAGATGTTTCTTGAGCCTAGATCTACCTTTGAACACACACACACACACACACACACACACACACACACACACACACACACACACCTCTATCTAACTCACCAGGGTTAGGGTGAAATGAGAGGACAGAAGCAGAGAGGTCAAAGAATGACTGTTGTGTGGCTGTGTCAGAAGACCTGAGATAGTACTGCTGACTTGTTTTTGTGTGAAGATAAATGAATTATCTAGCAAGTACCACTTTGTGGAGTAGTTTTATGAACTCATTCTTGGTATAAAGCAGAAATGGGCAGTATTAGACTTTGGGGGAAGTTCTAACACCTTGATTAATCTTATGCAATGATATGTGTTCATCAGACATTTGTTGAATGCCTGCCACATGGCAGAGAGTGGGATTGTGAAGAGGATTGGGCCAGAGACAGTACCACTTCCATCCAGGGCCTTTCTGGATGATTAGGAGAAGGATGCAAAGCAATAGGCTTTTATCTCACAGAGTGTGATTGTGCTCAGGAAGCTGTAAGGGACTCACAAGACAGATGGGGACTGCAGGAGACAGGTAGTCATGAGGTACTCCAAGGCTGAATCTATAAAGTAGAGTGGGGGTTGCCCAAGTAAAGATGAATGGAA